TGACCCTTTAACCAAATAAATTTGTAGTTTAATTTGAATTTTATTTTTTTTATATTTTATAATTATGGATATCACAATTTCTTTTTTAAAACTAAGTATGACAAAATTGATATAAAAGAACATATTACTACATACTATTGGGAGTAAAGATGAAAATAAGAATATCTAATTTGCTGTCTCTTTTTATTTTGGGATATAATTTTTTTATTTTTAAATAAGGCTGTTTGTTTTCAATTTTTTCTAAATGAAAAAACGAACCTTATGAGTTTTCTATTTAAGGATTTAGTCCATCCATGAGCCATATTATCACTACCATCTACTAAATCTTTAAATAGAAAAAAAATGCAAAATTTATATCCTAATTTAGAAAAAAATTGAAAGTTGGTAGTTTTAGTTAGAAGCCAAAAAGGTTTGTATATTTAAATAAAAAAAATCCAAAGTTCATATCATTTTCTTCAACTTTACTGGTACTGTTGGAGTTTAAATGTAAGTGTGTCAAGTCAAATATATTTATGCACCACATTGATATGATTACTATTCGAATCTAAGACCCCTCTTGTTTTTATTAGAAATAAATTGTCATTAAGTCACTTAAATTATTAACAATAAATTAGCTACTTATTTAAATTCAAGATAATACCGTACATATATATATATATATATTAAATCTTATTCTTCTTTTTTTTGGTACCATAAGTATTGAATCTTATTTACAAGCTTCCATTGAACCAACAATTTGTACGATAAGATGCCTAAAACTAATTTTAACTTTTTGGAATCCGTAATTGCAAACAAGTAATGCTTAGAAATATAAATTTAATGAGAAGTATTAATTAGTAACTGAACACACTCTCTAGTCTAACCATATATAAATTTTATAATTTTTTGTTTGTATGTCTCTTTAGTAAAAGGTGAAAAACAGTTTGCTCAATTCTCACTGGTTGCTTCACGTTTTCATAATTTACATCATACGTATATCCATCACTTGAGCGAGATAAAAAACGTGCTCTACTATTCTATATTTCTATATGCCGATAGGGAGAGTGCGTGAGAAAAGTCAGTGAGGGATTATTTCAAAAAGATGGGAATTTTGCAGTTGTATATGAACAAAAAGATAGTTAAGGATGAAAAGAGAAATAGATGGATAACCTAACCAAGACTATAACAAGGGATGTGACAATAGACCCATAACTAAATTTTGCACTCAAATAATGTTGTTTGTATCCTATTGACAATTGACCTGGATGAGTTGAAGTGGCATATTGGGGGTTAAAATCAAAGGCATTATTGTCATAAGAATTTGAGTAAGTATTTGATAAAGAAATTTGAGATTTCTTGTGAGGATTAAGAAAGCTTGATTAGAGCTGACTTTTTTTAGATTTTGAAATGATTAAAAATTTTGATCTTTCACTATGTGAATCCATTGTAGAAACTTTCAAAAAGTTGGGTGGCGTATATATCTACATCAATTTCTTACTCTCTCTCTCTCTCTCCCTCTCTTTTTTTTTTTATTTTTTTTATTTTTTTGTATGAACAATTTCTTACTCTTTTTTATTTATGAACAATTTCTTGCTCTTTTTATTATGAACAATTTCTTAATCATTATCAGTTCACTTGATTTTAATAATGAATGATTCTTCAATTTGTCAAACATTGTTTTCTTAATTATCCCCCTTCATATTTCTTAAACGTGTAATTTAAAAAAAGAATACAAGGGTAATTTTTTTTTTTTCTTTGACCAATTCGTCACGCAAATTCCACTAATTCGGCATAATGGATGAAAAACATGGATGTATGATGTAAAATTAATTAATGCCGACATCAATGGAATGAGAATCATAATATATATATATATACTTGGTCCTATACAATTGCATATTTGCAATATCACTTAACAAGCTTTGAGGGGGCCGAAGGAAGCATCCAAATTGACTTTTGGTGAAAAGCATGTATGCTTGGCTTGATTTTTTGCAAACACTTAGTGAATCACTAGAGATAGGACCACAAAGAAAACTACATTGAACAAACAAAGAGGAATTAGGTCATTTGTCCTTGTGTGTGCTACCTAACATATCACATAAGATTATATATACCATATTTTTATTATTGTTTTTTTGGGGTCAAAAACCTCTTAACACACGCAATGCCCAATTGTCAGTTTTTGTCAAATATCTTTGGTATGACTCCTAATTGCTTTATTTAATGTTACTAAACCACTACTTAACATTGCAGTCTTCCATATAATAGCTTGCTCCAATTGATTAACGTCATATAATGTTTGGACAATAAATATATTACTCCACCAATGATTTAAGAAAGTCATTTAAGGGATGAGAAAAGATATGAGTAGCATGAGATGCAAGTAATGGTCATTTAAGGGATGAAAAAAAAAAGTCTTTTATTATATAATTTAAAGTAAAAAATAAGAGAAAAATGCTTTTAGGTTGATCCATACAAAAAAATATAAAGTAAGAATACTCATAAAATTATTTCAATACCTTTAATAAATTTTCTTTATATATTGATTTATTAAAAATATTTAATTAATTTAATAAATATATATTTGATAAATCAACTTGAAAATCCGCAATTCCAAAATATAAAATATAATACTATGTGGTGTAGAATACATGATTCTTTATTTGTTTATATATATACATAGAAAATTGTATTATTGGGTCGTCCATAAGTAATAAATGAGGTTATATTATGAGGCACAATATGGCTAAAAAAGAGAGAGAGAGAGAG